AACCCACTGCGCCACCAGGGAGGGCCGGTTTTAGCTCATTTTAATGCACATTAAAAGTCTGAGGATCACTGACAATCCTCTGAAATGGATGAAGATGCATGTATGAAGAACAATATGGAGCACTGCTGTTTGCAGCAGATTTAAATGCAAAATCAGCAATGACTGAACTTTGAATAGGAATAATTTTCAACTTTCTAGATGAAGAACTGATATAAAATATCCAAATTATATGTTTCCAAAAGATAGGATTTCTGTGAGTTGGAATTTAGCCTTGACTTTTTAGATGGATTTTCTTATTCTTTTTCTAAAATGACAATGATTATTGAAAATTCTAAGGAATGTAGCTCCTTTTGTGTGTGGTGTCAAATATTATCCAGGAAAAATATTCTAGAATTAAAGTAGTCCTATTTATTTTTTATTATGTTCAGCTAATTTCAGACTCTTGAAAACATTAATAAAACTGAAATTCCTCATAATTTAGTCACAAAGAACTCTTGTTTAGAATTCTGACAGAGGATATAAACTGGCATTTTCCCCATAGGGCCCTCAGTTTCAAAGATCATAAAGAGGCTCCTTATTATTTTAAAAATTCCCGTTCTTGTTCTTCTTGCCATCAACTAGGCCACATTTTCTATCTTTCTGCATTCCTGGTATCATCAGGAAACAGTTCTAATCAAGGAAATGGGAAAGAAAAGGGTGTTTGCCAATTGCAGCCCAGAACTCAAAGCTTTTCTCCCCTCCCTGTCACACCTCTCCACATTCTTCTCTGTGCTCTTTTCCTCTTCTGTTTGATCAAGAGAGAAACCAATGGTAAGGCACCTAGTGGAGATAACTATGTTTCCACTAACCATTTCTCATTCCATAAACTAAAGGGAAATAAAAATACTTTGTATTTTACTCTTCATAATTCAGGGACCTTTTAAAGCAACCTAGCCTACAATAAATTATACAAAGAAGTAATTTAAGTTAGTGTTTGGTGCAGATAACCTAAATTTAGCCAGTATTAGTGGTAAGAAAATGAATAAGGAATAATTAAAGATTATTTATACATTTTAAGGAAAAAACATGTAATTTAACTGTCCAGAACACATTGTCTATTTATATAGAAATAGCCAATATATTAAAAGATATTAAACAAAATGTCTATAAACTAACTTCTCTTTTGTTGAATTATTTGAACAACTTCACAATGAATGGGATTTTGTAAACTCAGTCTTCGATTATAACCACTTCACTAAATCTTGAAGAATCACACACTCTGATATGAACATTTGCTAAAGCTGGATTTCCAAATTGCTAAACAGAGTTCTCAGATGTCGAGACATACTTTTCAAATATCCCTTGAGTCTTTTGACTAAAGAATATTTTGATTTTATGTGTCACCTTTCAAAACAGATTCATCTCTTCCCTTGGCATCTGTGGTAGTTAATAATTCATCCTGGTCCCCATCTGCAGGGACCATGGGCGAGATGCCCTTCTTTGGTATTTCACAAATAACCTTTCCAGTGAATCACATTATAGTTCTTGTGACCAGGCTTATCTTTTGAATAGATAAAACATGATCTTAAAGAGCAAAACCAGCTTTAGCTCTTCAAAGATCAATCTAATTTTAAATGTAGTTCCCACTTACTTTCACTATCATCCCTTACCTTGTTTACATAAGTAAACAGATGACTGTATTCTTAAATCAAGATTATCTGGCCAATTGCAATCATGGTGACCACCAAAACCTTGCGACAAGTATTACAGAAAATCAAAATCTACCAGAGCACGGAAAAAGATTGCGTGTGTTTAGGGGAGGGAACAAAATGTCTTAAGATTTTATTTTAAGAATATATATGAGGGCCCTTGCTGGTGGTGCAGCAGGTTAAAGCATAGCACTGAGAAGCTAAAGCCACTTCAGCGTGAGCTCTATCCCCACCCTGGAGGTGACCCACGTGGTGTGGCAAACCTCTCCTGACCCTCCCACTGCTCCCCTCAGCACTGCACTTCATCAGTCGTCCTGTTCTCCTTCCCACTCTGTCTCTGGTAAATCCTCTCACTGGCCCTGCACCTGGCTGTACCCCAGTTCTGTATGCATAAATAAATAAATCTTTAAAAAAAAAGAATATATATGAGTGCAACTAAAGTGCAATATATGTACATGTAAAAATGGGAAACTGATAGTGATGTATCTTTTAGAACAACTTACACAGCCATTAAAATGGGCTCAGTGTATAATGATAAAAAAATAAGGATTTAAGAGACAAACTGTTATGTAAACAAAGAAAATGATAAATAGCATAAAGGAGTGATGAGAAATACAGTAAATATTCATTAACTGCCATTTGATTATTTATGGGTAACTTGCTTCTAAGTATATTTTATGTTTTAAGTGATATAAATTTACTGTTTTATAGAAAGTAAAAATATTTGAAAAAGACATCTACTTTTCATAAATTTAAGAAAATTTTCTGAACATGGCTGAACACTTCTGTGGAAGTACAAAAGAAATCATCTACTCTGAGTTCTAGACTATAATAATCAAACAAGTGTCAGACAGCTTAATAAGAGAACAAAGTCAGAATGTTCAGTAATGACATATATACCAGCTGTATCTAGGGCAGAGAGACCGAGCATAACTGAGGAACACCCTGAGAAGTTTCAGAGACCATTTTCAACAATTTGGTCAGATCAGATGAGGAGGGAGAAGGGAAGAATGGGGAAATTCAGTCATTCACCGATTAGACAAGAAGGCACCATTCTGCTTTCACCATTTTAAAGAATGAAGGAGTTCATCTTCCCCACATGCCTTTAACTATAACAAGACAAGGTGCCTTGTCCATAAAGAAGGAAATGTTTATAGATAACTATCAAAAGCAACATTCACATTGTCATTACAGTACCTCAGATGAAATAAACTTCCTGCCAGTAGAAATTTTTCCCTTATTGTCAAGGAAAATTATTGTAGAAAAAAAATAACATAAGCTTTATCTCTAAATATAATACATATCTGGATTTAAATATTTTTTTTGCTATGACTGCCTTTATGTTAACTAACAAGAAGTCCCCAGAAAATAATCTGCCTTTCTGCTTTATAGTAATAAATCACCAGAGCAAATATTTCATGTTGGGTAACCACTGCAGTTTCTGTCATTTAGTTAGTAGGCAGACTGAGACCTCCCCTTTTTGTATAACACAGTTGCCATTTAATATTGTTCAATTTTCCATCATAGGGCACTGCCACTGTTTCTAATTCCCAGTATAAACTGAATGAAAAGAGAGTTATGAAAAGCAGGAGTTGTTGGTTCCATGAATGTATTTATAAAAATGATTCAGCTTTTCCTTTCTCTTACAACACAGTTTTATCAACTTCTCTTATTCATTGTACTGCACGTATGTACATGACCTTCTCTTTCCTTTTAAATTTTACAGTCTCATTTATTATGATCGAGGACTACCCAGGGACTTCAATCTGTTAAGTGGTACTTACTCAAAAAGAGATCCAGCCATCTAATGTACACATGCAGTGGAAGCAGACTTAGCACGAAATATATGTTTTAAATAGAATTGGTGTACACAGAGAGAATGAAGAAAGGAATTCAAATGATAGTTTCCCTATAAAGGTCACCAAGCTACCCACCCCTTCTGGGCAAATGGATGTGGCTAGAAGAAGTGCCACTTAAGCCACAAAACTTGCCACAGTTCTAAAAGGGAACTAGATGGAAGAGGTTAAGCAATTCTGAGACAGCTGAAATAGGAGAGACCCAAAATTAAGATTCAGGTGGGAACTAGCAGATCCGAACTATTTTCAGACACAGGGATGCCTGGGATATAATCTAAAATTTACCACCTGAAAACTGTCTTCCCAAATGAGCAAAGAACAAAAATAACTGTTAATTGATTCAATTATACATGAATAGTGAATTGACTGGCTTAAAAAAAAAAAAAAACGAAGAACAAGATTTATTTACTTACGCATACAGAACTGGGGTTTAGGTCACAGGTAAAGGGGTGGTAAGAGAATTCAACAGAGACAGAGTAGGGAGCAGAATATGCAGGTTGACTGAAGTGCACTGCTGAGCGGAGCAGCTGGCAAGACAGAAGTCTGCTGCACCATGTGTGTCACCTCTCTGGCTGGGGATTGAACTCGTGCTGAAGTGACTGCTAGGTTCCTAGTGCTGTGCTTCAACCCATTGCACCACCAGGGAGGGCCCCAGAATTGAAAAACTTTTAATGACCTTCCTTACAATTTACTTTAGAAACACTTTCTTCACAGGACTTTGTATAAATTTTCCACCCTTTTAAAATATATGTGTATCTTCTATCTGCTTATTGCTACTTTTACAACAGGAAGTATCTTTCTCAAGGACTTGGAAACCATCTCTGAAATATAAAGATCGAGGAGCTAACACCTGTATTTCTCAACCTTTGTGGAAGTTCAGGGCCTAACTTCCATGGGTACAAACACAGATGTTTTAAGGACAGACAAAAGTATTTTCAAATTCAAGAGTATTTCTACATATCAGACATATCCATAGATTAGCTTCTCCCAGAATGTCTCCAGTACTTTTCTGTCAGCTAAACTCAGAGCTTAAAAACTCTTTTTGTTTTTACAAGTCAACTTCAGCCTACCTCTTAGGCCTATCTCCACTGTAATATTCTTAAATCTTCCTTGTCTGATTAATTTTGGTGCAACTTTTGTTTTGATATACTAAGTATTTATTAGATGCAATATTTTGTCCTAGTTATTAAGATGATATTTTACACATTTTTTTTATTACTATTTAATATATGACACCATTTTTCTAAGAGTTATAAGTTTCCCACTGCCCACTGCCAGATTCTATAGCCACTGCCACCTAGTTCAGAATTGCTTATCCTTTGGCAATGTCCCACTTACAGCACCACTTTCTGGTACTAATTGTATCAATCAGCTGCATCTCCAAAATGCCACAGAACAAACTAATGCAAAATTTGGGAGTTTTCTACAAAACAACTTTTTATTTTTCTCATCACAGTTTTTGCAAGACAACCGGGTGCAGAGACTGAGTTTTTTGCTACTGCTGTGACTGCTTCAGAATTCACTTTGACTAAGCTTGACTCCAATTTCTGAATCTACCCCACGTGCTTTAGTCTGGAATCCAACTTGCAGAACCTGCAATTACCCCAGGTATGATCTCAGGAAACTGCCAGAAGTTCAAAAAGAAATACCAATTTCTCTGTAGCATCCTGTCCATTAACATCAACCAAAGCAAGTAACAGTCCTGCCTGAAATTAAGGGCTGGGCAGTACACTCTGCCTACTGAGAAGCTATGAAAAGGGTACACATATATATGACTTGTGCAGGTGCCATAGTACACTTCATAGAAAATTGCATACAGAGTCACACTGTCAAAGTCCACCACCCAAAGCTGCAGAAACACACCTGCAGTGAATGAGGTCAGGGTGATTTAATTTTTAATTTGTAGAAGAGAAGTTTGAGGTCCTCATTATAGACTTTAAGCATGGGATGAGTGATTCTAAGAAGGGTTAGGTTAGGGAAATGAGCGACAATGTTAGAGTAGATGCTGATAGCGCAAAGGAGTAATTGAGAAGCAGCATATTTTGGTAATTTTTAATCTAGTAGCTGAGTGCAATAGGAATTGAGTTTTATTGCTAAATGTTATCACTCATGCTAATTGGAAGTGGAGGATATCTTATTTTTGTAGTTAAGGTGGGTTTTATGCCACTACCTGAGGGGCAGAAGCTTCTATTTCCTTTTAAAATTATTAAATTCATTTATTTTCTTACATCAGTTCATTTTATGCAGTATTTCACTTCTCCCCTCAGGTGTCCTGTAGTTCTCCCCTCCCCCTCGCTTCCCCCACCCCCCCATAGCACTCATGATCCCTCTCCACTGTCTGGCCCTTATGCTGGTCTCTCCTTTGTTTTGACCATCTCCACCCCCCCCCCCCATTATCTACTCAGATCTAGTTCAATGTTGTGGCTGGTGCCTCTGTCTGCTCCTGAAGAGCTGCAGCAGGGGTGGGCTTTAGCTTCTTAAGATAGGTTTGGAAGACAGTAGGATCCCTATACCACTAAGGAGCCTACTCTTTATGTCTGGCCTGTTTCCATTGGGCTGGGTGGGGAAGGACCTCAGAGAGCTGCTGAGTGAGGACTCCTCTTGTGTCTTGATTCCAAGTGACCTCAAATTTCCCTTTACATCTGTCCACACTAGGCCTTTAAAAGTCCATCCAGATTTTGCTTGGCTTTTATCAGATCTTCTTTTATTGTTGCTGCCTCTCTCTCCCATGCTGTGCTGAAGGTAAAACAGTTTCTTCTTAGGAATGGCTTATTTAACTTTTCACAATTTAGTCAAATTTTTTTTTGCCTTGAAACTTCCTCTCTTTTATGAGCTCAGCATTATTTTTAATTTTGCTTTTTTCATTGTAGTAATATATTTTCTTGTAATTTTCTACATCCTAAATCTCTAGCCTATAGCATCTTATTTTCAGGAAAACAAGTATCTTAGCATTCCATATATTAATTACCAATATCCAATATGTTATTTTTCTTATTAAAATGAGTGTTGAATCTTAGAAAAGTTTTTGCCTCCTGTTAAACTACTAGTATTTGAATTGGCTGGAATGCGCAAGCTTTCTAAAAGTTCAAGATTGCTCTCTGCTGTGCTCCTCCAAATTACCTTTCCAAGCCCTGTTTACTCCTTGCATAAGTCTCAGACTAATGATTCTGGGAACACTTTTCCATATTATAGTATCTGCCATAGAATGATACCAAAGTTTTAAAATTGAACATGTACTCAGCATTGTTTACATTGGAATCCTAAAGAGAGTCTCTATCAATGAGTAATCCAGAGGCTTTCACCAAACCGGGACTGAGTATTAATTGAGATTCTATCTGAATTTTAACTTGGCAATGCCCATGCACCCCTACATATAACCATAGAAGAATTATGTCCAGCGCCAAATGCATACGTGAAATACGGGACTAGTTAGGAGGAGTAATGATCATAGATATATTAGGTATTTGTTTTAGAAGAAAAGTTATTTCCATTTTTAAGTGACACACAAATTTACACCTAGAAAGTGAAATCACTGAAGCACAAAGCCACGTTGACATCAAAATGTGTCTTCAATTGTGCTTTAACTATGATAGAATTACATCTTAAATGATGGATCTTTTAATACTTATAGTCAAATTTACCCAATGGAGCAGTCACAGCCTAGTTACAAAAAAAATGTCAAGTGAGGCACTATAGATGTTATGAGCATATTTTGTAAAAGAGGAGTTGAAGTAGGGTGATCCATCTTGGGTTTCCCTTTCAGCCAGGTAATGCTATTATAGCCCTGTCTCCTTATAATAGAGATGCTTTTTCTAAATGAGAAATAGCATCACAAAGAAGTAAGAGGTTCTGTATGATCCCTAACAATGACTACCTCATTTTATGTGTTTAATGATGCCTGTAGGAAAGCTTACTTACTCTGACAAGATATTTCCATCAGTATCCTTGAATTGAACAGAATAAAAGGATGAGGAGAACTTGCCTGAAGAGTGAAGATCATGTCCTTAAATGGTTGCTTTTTATATGACATTTTAAAAATGTGTATCCCTTTGCTATAATTTTCAGAAGACATTGTATACACCTAGAAAGGAAGTAAAATGATTCCTTCAAAACCAAATATGACGTTTAATCTATCAGTAGACAACCATTTTATCAAAAATTCACATTTTAATCATTTCCAAAGGTCGCCATATCATTAAATCACCAGATGCTAAAAAATACATAAAATATCTTTTTGAAGAGAGTACCTTATACCTTTTGTAAAATAGATCAAACTATCTTACAGAAATTTCCCTTTAAAAATACTATGAAAATGGACATATATATATTGCTTTTCAATAAAATTTCATTCAATAATTAGAGCATCTGTTAATGACTATTGATACAACAAGAATTGTCTGATTTATTTCTGTGTTATTTGAAAATTGGTAATGACCCAATCCCATAATTACTTGTATATCTGTTTACCTTAAATTCTACTTTAGGGAAAAATGTTTCCTTCTTATCTACCTATCTATCTACTTATCTACCTATCATCTTTCGATTTATCTTTTATATTGTGGATTCACATAATCCTATTTTTTTCATTAATTCATTGTGTTTTAATTCATTACAGATAGTATTTTGGGTCATTTGAGTAAAGAATAATGTCTTAATGGTTGTTACAAACTATACTATAGGAATCTTATTTCTTTTTGTTGTTCCTATTCTTCTCTGAATACTTAATTGACACATATCCATTGTAGGAATTTATTCTGGGAAGGGGTCCATGATCGTCTCCTTGCCACTTACTGGACTAGTTTCATCTATGATCGGTCCTCATATAAAGGATTCAGCATGCTTTCTGCTACCAGTTGATTAGATATCCACAATGGCAGCAGCTATATAATTATTGAAGACAACTAGTGCATATTTTTAATTCAACATATGGCCTCATCAGTAGTCCATTCGGTCAATATTGAGAGGTCAAGGAAAGAGGTTTTCTTATATCCAAAGCATGAAAATCATCTACCTCACCATTGAGAACTTGTATTAGCTACAGATCACTATAATAAATTACCCCAAACTTGGTTATTAAAAATACCTTTACTTTCTTATAGTTCTGGAAACCAATCCAGGGGAGAATTCTTCATTGACTTTTCCAGCTTCTGGTAGCTTTTTGTCCTCCTTGACTTCCTTGCTAATGGCCACATCACTCAAATCTTTGCCTCTATTCTCACATTGCTGCCACCTGTCCCCTCTCTGTCTCTTTTTTGTGTGTCTTCATAAATCCTATTCCCATTGAATTCAGAGCTAACCTGGATAATCTGGAATTATCTCATCTCTCATCATCTCAGTAACTTTAATTTATTTCTATTTGTAAGCACCATTCCCCCCAAAGAGTAACAATCTCAGGCTCCAAGGAATTGATAAGGACTCATGTCAAAGGCTACTATTCAGACTGTGGCACCTAAAACTATAAAATTTTCATGGATGAAAGCACCCACATAGCATTCATCTTTTATCAAAACTAAATTAATTGCATATTGATAACAGCATTTCAATGAAAATGTTTTTAAAATCAACAACAAAAATAGAAAACATGAACAATATTACAGCCCCTAACCTATATTATTGCATATTAATATATAGCACAAAATGAATGTCAGCCTAAAGTTTTTACTGTTATTAGCTGCAAACTCACTAAAATATTTTCTTCCTTGCTTAGAAATAAGTACTGTTTTACAAAAAAAAAAAGTAGTGCCAAATTTCAGTATAAGTTATGATCCAATGATATTATCACTGTAAGATTTATAGGTAAATATTTACAGCAATAATATCACAAGCAAGTATTTTATATCTTTAATATAAATGTTTAAATATGTTATTTATAAGGGGTCATCTAATTTTCATCAAGTATAATTATGTACTGGCTTCCCAGTTGTTATGATTATTGTATGAAATTCTTCACCAACATTAAATCATAATATAATTTTGTGACCTGTCGTAAATGGGAACATATTGCATTTTGCCCATTCATTAGGAGATATTTAGACCCTTTCCTAGACTACTGATGGGAAATTTGCACATTAAAATTATTGCATTTTGAAATAGGTCTAATAGGTAAATACTATCATAATAACATTTCTGACTTAAATTAAAATTCCTCAACCAGTAATTACTTGATTCCTCAGTCCTGTAAAGAAAAATCAAATTCTACAACTTTTTAAATTGAGTCATTCAAAAGGTGTGGATTGATTTTTAGGGAAGTATAGTGTCATTATAAAACCTTGGCTCTTCCTCCTAAAAGTCACAAGAACAAAGATCATGATAATGAGAACTGGAAAGAAGGCAAATATTCAGGGTCTTTTAGAAGTTGTTTCATGAGTGTCTTGGCTCATAAAGAAAATGAGCCAGAGAAAATTCAAGACAGAACTCAGCAAATTCCTCAATGTGAGAAGTCCAAAAGAAATACATGAAAATTGGACTTCCCCTTTAAGCTTTCAACATAATATGGGAGGCTCTTTGGAAGTTTTATGATGTTTTAGTCCTATTCACTTATGTAAGGGTGCTGTAGTTGTTAGGAGCATGTAGAATTGCTCCAAAAATCTAAGGTTCAGACTCCAACT